TGAGAATGATGAGGGCAATGAATGTACAAATGCGCTTTACAGTATACAATTGATGTGTATATGGATTGTGATAAGAGTTGTATGAGCCCCTAATAAAATGATTGAAAAATAAACACCAAGGTCATTTATTAACTCAATATTATGATCCATAGTAATTTCCAGGTTTTTGACAGAAATTCTTTGTGGAGATATAAAATCACCTATCTTAATAGAGTGTCTATATTTCAAAGAACTTAATTTCTTTTTCACAATTATCCCAACTCCCCTTCAAAATATTTGGAGAAGAATAGATTCGATCGCCTTTCTTGAGGTGTAAAGTTACCACTAAGTCAATTTCAGCATGAAAGTTGCTCTTCTCTGAACCAACCAAAATGTAACTCAGATCCTTGAGATGCCTCGCTCTAACAACTCTTCATGCTTTTCATTTCCATAAAGTCACGCTAAAGCCTTGGCTCATCGTTATTTTCAAATTTCCTTAACCTTCCAGAACCCACACGTTTTTTTGAAACTCTGTCTCTTGACAATCCTGTATAGACTAGCACCTTTCTTTTTTTATTTGAGGAGTTCTTATCTCCTGTTCTTTGGGTATCCTCAGAAATCAGCAATTCAGAAACCCAGCATCCTGCTCTCTTCTCAGTCCATACAGTACACAGTTGGCCATTATCATGCTAATTGTTTTATTGGAATATAATTTACATATAAAATAATTTAATGGTTCAGTCCTATTAAGAAGAGTTGTGCAATTATCATCATGTTCAATTTCAGAACATTTCCTACTTTCTCGTACTCATTGTTGTTAGTTCCATATATCTCATGCTTCTAGCTTCATTCACCCAGTTACTGTCTCTATACACTCACTTATCCCAGATTTCATATACAGAAAATCATACAAAACAAAAGAAATGGAAAAAAAAACTATTAATGAAAAAACAAAGCAACGCTATTTTATTTCTTCTCCCTTAGGCACCTAGGGGAAATCTTTATATAGATGTGCTTCTGGGGTACAAGATGAGATGTATAGTACTGTATGCCTAGTGATGACATCCTAGGTTGGTCCAATGTATTGTTACTTGTATAAGGATGGGCTGCAAATATTGATATGATTCCGAGCACTCTGTTAATCATAACCTGTTGACAAATAGTACTGTTTCCAGGTTAGGAAAGTACAATACA